GGTAGTTAGATGCTAAAGATGCAAATAGGCACCTACTGGGGTTGTCAAAAGCTCCTAAGAGCCTGTCTCCCATTGACCAAAATCTTCCCCAAATCCTTTAGCTGTAAGCAGTAGCAAAACTCAGAAAACGTTCTATGTGGACCAGCCGCAGCAATTTGGCAGCGGGTACGCCGAAGCCGCGGGATTGGCGGACCTCCCGCAGGCATGCCGCCGAAGGCAGCCGGCCTGCCGTGCTTGGGGCGGCAAAAAAGCTAGAGCTGCCCCAGGCTCCTTACAATTGCTCTTATCAGAACCTGTTCCTACGGCCTTCACCCGGTGTCAATTTATCTCTCCCCAGTTGTGTGTCAGAATATTAGGAAGTGTTAGGGATGCACTTTCAAAGCATTGTCTGATGATTTAGCTACATAGCTGCTGTTAATATTCAATGGAAACGGTATGAATGAATCCCTTCGTTTTGTTTGTAAAATGTATCCCCTTAATGCCCTGTATCAGCGTCAGCACTTCTGTTCTAACCTGTTTTCTACCTAAATAGGAACAATGTGGCCCAATGGCCAAGGCAGTGATGGCGGAGTTAGGTGACTTGGGTTCTAGTCCGACTTCTGATCTTGTCAGTGAGGAAGGATGGTCCAGTGGTTAGAGCGCTATCCTATGGCTTGGGAGACCTGTGTGCAATTCCCTGTTCCACCACAGTCACATCACCTCTCTATCTCTGTTTCCCCACCTATAATATGTGGATAATAATCCTTACCCCTCCCCCCCCCTTCATAAAGTGCTCTGAGTGCCTCATACAAAAAAGCCTGCAGGAACAGTTGTTATGCCCTCCTTGAGAGGCCATGACCCCCCGGACAGACTTGTATTTATTAGGCCAAGTTTCCAAAGCACACAGAGCAAACTTTTCCAGATCTGCGTTGCCGCATAAGATCATCCCGGCCCATTGTTCTGACTATGTCATCTGCTCGGAGTCCCACCAGTGGCTGCCTCTTCCCCGCCACGCAAGCCACATGCTCACTGGCATTATCGTAAAGACCATTAATAATTTAGTCCTGCCCTACCTGTCGGATTGATTAGCGTGGAGTTGACTCCAGTGTTTGCTCCACCAGTAGTGCCAACCTGTGTCACCCATTGGTCCATGTCTCCTTCCAAGCACTTTGGTGCTTTCTTCTACACCGACCCTTGTGTGTGGAACAAACTCCCTGAAAATAATCTACAAAGCCACTACTCTGTCCCCCTTCAACTCCCTCCTGTAGGCTCACCCTCTGCTGGGATGCCTACAGAACATTGCTGGGTGATAACGGTGCAACCCATGGCAGCTCAATAGTGGACTCTGCTCACATTCCCCTATTACTGTTACCTTGTCCTATCTCCCCCAGATCCCCACTTGTTTAGTGTTTTTTATTCACCTGTTGTGTCCTGTCACTAACAGGGAATGGAAGTTCTGCAAGGCCAGGACTGTCTGTTTATTGCATGTTTGTACAGCGCCCAGGATAACAGGGCGTGATCCCTGATTAGGGCCTCTAGACACCATTACAGTGCAAATAACAACAACAATAATAATGAATGACGCATATACTTTTCTATTTACTTACTTGCATGTTAGGTGCCCCAATGATGTCATAAGTTCTTGTTTGTCTCATTTCTAAGAGCCCACAATACCGTTCAAGACAAAACTGAAGGATGTTGAAGTTCAGGAGAAAGAATCTGCCACCTTCCAGTGTGAGGTGCCCATCCCTAGCACTGAAACTGCCTGGTTCAAGGAGGAGACCAAACTCCAGCAGAGCAAGAAGTACAACATCGAAGAAGAGGGGACGTACCGCCGGCTCACCGTCCAGAACGTCACCACGGACGATGACGCCGTCTACATCTGTGAAATGAAGGAGGGGAGCAGGACCATCGCGGAACTGACTGTCCAGGGTAAGAGAGAGAATCCACTGCAGTAGGTTTCTCCTTCCCTTTTTGTGCCCTCCCTCTCCCCTGCCCCCTAAAGATTTTTGTTTGTGTGGGCTAAAGTAAATCCTGCCTGACAGCGCTGATGATTTCATCTGGAGTTGAAATGAGCGTTTGCATTTTATGCTCTGGTGGGTGGTGCACAGTGTATTGGGAACGTGATTTCAAAAGGCCTGTAGCGTTACTAGCACAGTGGAATGATCCCATTGAGGGGTGGTTAACAGGGATTGAATCTGGAAATCCCAATCTGTAAGCATGAGTCTGTACCCCTTAGGGGAAAGGATTTGGGGCCAGCTTTTTAAAGGTAGTTAGATGCTAAAGATGCAAATAGGCACCTACTGGGGTTGTCAAAAGCTCCTAAGAGCCTGTCTCCCATTGACCAAAATCTTCCCCAAATCCTTTAGCTGTAAGCAGTAGCAAACTCAGAAACGTTCTATGTGGACCAGCCACTGGGGGGACATAAAGCCATGCTGTCCTATTGCAGGTTACAAGAGCACAGCACTACTTTGAGAGTAGGGCCAAGAGTCAATCATTGGTGACTGATGGGGAAAGTAAACATTTTGGTAGGGTTGACAGAAAAAGTGAGTTCATTTTCACTCTATACTTTTTGCAAAAAAATAAAAGGCCATTTTTGAGGCAGAAAAGTGTCATTTCGCCACTAAAAGCTATGATTTTGCTAAGAGAATGTAAAAAAAAAAAATTCTCAATGAACATGTTTTCAAGAGGTTGTGATAAAAATTCACGAAAGGCAGCACGAGGTGATGAAAACAAGGAACTTCAGCCCTAGAACAAATCTGTGACCACATCACTACTTCACAGGTGGATATTTGAGTTGCTCACATTAATGACTGTACCGATCACATTTCTCTAAGAGTGAAATTCACCTGGGCAGGGAGCAACCCAGGGTCTAGGCACTACTTAAGTCCTGCTTCAGCACTATTGTTAGGTCTTATGTGGTGTCAGTCTTGCGCTGGCTGCATGCACAGGGGTGAATTTCACTCCCATCACCTGAGCAATAGACTGGGAGCCAAGAACTCCTACGCTGTAAACCCAAGTCTGCCTCTGACTTCCTCTACAGACTTAGGCAAATAGCATTCCTGGACTCAGTTTTCCCATCTGCACTATGGGGCGGGGTTTTCAAAAGCACTAACGTTTTGATGCTAATCATACTTCCCTATAGAGCTTTAGCTCCTTACAATTACTAACAATATAGGGAGCATTGTTTAAAAAGGAAATGTATCACTAAAGTTACCATTAAATATGGGCCTCAGCTACAGAGTTCAGATATTGAGCCAGATCCAAACTTTCCTGAAGTTTACAGCTGTTCTTCATCAGGGGTTTGGTTTGCCCCATAATATGGTTTAGGCTCCAGTGGCAAAATCTGGATGTATCCAAATCCAGATGCCAATTTTCCCAAAGTTTGGGAGCTTAGGGTTGATGTGTATTGAGATCTAGGGTTTGGGCCAGTATAGGTTTCTCAAAAACACAGAGACATGTTTGCAGAAGTGTCTGTTAGTTTTAAGTTTGTGGATTCACCTACATGAAATCTAAATCCGATAGCCATGATCCTGATTCTGATGTTGATTCTACTTATGTAAATTCTACTTATGTAAATTATAATGATCTCCATTGAAACTAATGGAGATACACTCTTGTAAAAGCTAAAGAACTGAATTTGGCCCTTTTCATTTCCAGTCTGACTGTACTCTAATCAAAGGCCATGGAGGAATCCCACTGTAAAACCTGGTGGCCCCTGCCAGATCTGTATATACAAATGCAGGTTTTATACCTGCAAACAAATGGAGAGGTGCAAGCATTATGGGACATTTGACCCAAAGAGATGCAGGAGTTGATGAAGGAAATTACAACCCACTCTTGGGAATGTATTATGGATTCCTTGATTAATTGTGAAATTATAAAATTTAGAGACGAAAACTGTTATGCACACAAAGAAGTTAGATAAAAAACATACTCTTGTTGAAAGGTTTCAGAGTAGCAGCCGTGTTAGTCTGTATCCGCAAAAAGAAGAACAGGAGTACTTGTGGCACCTTAGAGACTAACAAATTTATTAGAGCATAAGCTTTCGTGGACTACAGCCCACTTCTTCGGATGCAGCCCACTTCTTCGGATGCATATGCATATGCATCCGAAGAAGTGGGCTGTAGTCCCACGAAAGCTTATGCTCTAATAAATTTGTTAGTCTCTAAGGTGCCACAAGTATTCCTGTTCTTTTTGAAAAAAAACATGAAACCCATCTGACTGATCCACAACAAAACAAAAAATGGTTGCGGGAGGTGGCGGGATGTAGGGATACATATACAAATGCTGTCCCTGGGCCCTGATCAGAGAGCTTCAGTTTTCATATCACCACCACCAGACTGCTAAAAGGGAGGCAGGCTATATTTGGTTTCTTTGTTTTTTTTAATAGTGCATTCTAACAGGCCATGCATAAGCTTGGTGATCTGAATAATAAGCCCATTTCATAGCAAAATCTATATTAAACAATGGAAAAATTCCTTCAGGAAGCAAACAAAACAGGGTTGTTTTAGAATTCAGTTCAGCAGAATGGGACAAATGAGGGCACTATGCCATACTGAACTGTCAGTACTTGCACTTGCTGAAATGCTTTGTATTCAATTCCTAAAGAAATCAGAGTAACACATAGGCCCTGATCCTGCAAAGACCTGTGCCCACACTTAGCTTTATATGCAACGAATAGGTCCCATTAGCTTCCTGGCACTGAGCCCTTGACCACAGTGCGTGAGAGCCACAGGACCCAAGAATCTGAATAGACCGACAACTTGATGTGCTCGTATGGTTTTACCACAAATATATGCAGAAGGACAATAGGACAGCATCTATATCTGTAGAGGAGAAAGGGGGCAATTCCTACTAGAGGTGATAACTACAGGATGTCTATTCCAAGGTCACAGTGACATTTTCCAGTGGTAGAACAGCTAAAAAAAAAACCCTTTTCTTTGCTAGCGTTTGTATGAGATACTCTGAGCCCTTAATCTGAAAGGAAAGTCATCTCTGAAGGAATCACAAAACAGCAGTTAAGACAACACTAATTTCATTGACGTATACTGATGAACTCAGCTCCATGATCCAGGCTGTATAAACAGCAGTATAATACAGAATATATTTTCCCAAGCTCCGTGGTCTGGTATGTCTGGAATGAACTCTCTAGGTGTGGTGATGGGTGGGAAGGTTGAGTCAAGTTCAACTACATTCATTTTGCATTAAAAAATCTGAGTTATCAGTGAAGTTCAGGCTCTGATGTATTTTCCTTTTTGAAGGAGGAAATAAAAAAAACACGTTTGATCTTTCTTTTAGAAAGAGCTTTGATTTGGAACAAGTACTCAGACTTGTGTCAAATGTAAAGTGCTAACTGTACCTGCTACCACACCAACAAAGAGAGCAAACACAGCATACTTTCAATATCCTGTGTCAGTCCTATTCTAAATGCAAAACAAATGCAGAGTTCAACTGGAAACATAAAATCTGATCTCTGAAGCTCCACCATTAACAAATTTTAAGCAAAAACTATGCTCCAGCCATTCGTGATGCCAAAATGCGGTGTCACTTGCAGTAGACTGTGTTAATCCCTATGGTTTTGTCTTCACTAGAAAAAACGGTGTACTTTTAAACATGTTAAAATCCTAGTATAGACAAGGCAAACTAGTTTTAACATGTGTTATCTGATCAATGTGTTAAAACTACAACTTGTCTACACTAGGATGTTAACATAGGCTAGCTAACACGTGCTAAAAATGCACCTTTTTCCCAGTAGGGAGATGCCTTTTAATGCAAGTCCTTTCCTGAATGTTTAGTTAATGAGTGCATTCCTGATCAGTGCTGACATTTAAATTATCACTATAAATCGGAATCAACAATCCAAGGTGGATAAAAAATAATTTTTTTGAAAAAATAAATAGATAAAATAAAAGATCAGATTTGATTTAAATCAGATTTTTTTTGATATTTAAATTATACAGTTTTCTTTTTAAAAGTAACCTGTTTAAAATGAAATCTGAATTTAATACAAAATATGCTAAGGCCTAAACTAATAATCTCTTAAAACATATTATAATAATTATCCACGAGCCTCTATCCAAAAATTGAGTTAAAGACCGCTTTTCTATATAAAGAGAGAATCGTGTGTGTGTGTGTTTGTTTGCGGCGGGGGGGATGGGAGGGGGGAGGAGGGAATCTACCTTTTGAGGTCAAGCTTTATAAAAAATGGCACAATAGGTCATATATTGTGTTAAGAGCTTATTTTGTTTAATAATAATACATATTAAATGCTGTTTTGTGTGTTTAATTAAATTCCAGTTACATCCTAATGCAGTTTGACACAAGTCATAAGCAAAAAGTTAATTATCAATAAACAAGCAATAAGCTACAACACTGTAAACAATATATCATTCACCATTTTCTAACATACTAAAATGTAAATTAATTATTAAGAATCTGAAAATATTAACTATATATGTATATAGTTACGGTGTGCCCTTCTAGGTAGCAAAAAATTGTGCCAAATCTAGTGTAAAGGTCTATTTAGTTGTAAATCAACATATTTTAATGGTTACATCAACCAATGAGAATGCACCTTTCTTTAGAAAATAACTGAAGTCTAAATGGAAAAGTTGATTAAAACCAATTATTTAAATTGAGGCTTTCCACTTGGTAATTTAAATCATGATTTAAATTGCCTTGATTTAAAATCAATCCACTCTGCAACCCACTGAAATGGGTGGGGGCAGTTCACACTTCTCTCAGATCTATTGTTTCTGGTGGTGTTTACAGACATTACCACACTGCTTTATATTTAACAAATTCCCTTTACAACCATAAAGGCTATAGAAATTTTTTTAAAAATTGCTTAACTTCTGGAATAAGAGTACTTTTCTGTGGTGGCTGCCTTACATAATAAGTATGTCTACACCACTATAGAAGGTGTGATTGTAGCACGGGTAGGCATACCTGCATA